AGAGGACCCTGGCTGAGTGGTGGAGAAAAATTTGCTTTAACTCCTTTTTGCAGAAAGGACTTCATATTTGTATCAGTTTATTCATCTACAAGCTGCTTCTCTACTGAGACCCACCTAAGGTTGCTTTTCTTAGCAAGGGGGAGACTCCTCCAAGCAAAACATTTCTGAATGAAGAAGAGCCTGCAAGTCTGGAGCTAGCCCTGCTGTGAGACTACCACAGGTACTTCGTTCCTGTATCAAGAGATGGGTGAAAAATGGTTTCAGATGGTTTTGACCCATATGCTGTTATGGAGGACTGTGCTTCACTGCTTTTATCTCTAGCTGGAACAATCTTGGGGCTGCTCTAGCTCTTGTTTTTCTCTGCTGGCTGTTTCTATAGTTTCTTGAGGATTTAAAGTCTTGGCTTGCAGGATCCTGTCTGGTATGTGGGCTATAGACTGCAGGGAGGAAGTCTGAGAGGCTTCTACCTGCTTTTCAACCCCTTTGTGGCATCTAGGCACCTCTGTAATGTTTTGGGGAACATCTTAACCTTTTGTTTGGTCTCCTCTATCACTAGGGTTTTGGGTGCTGAGCAACTGTGCACCTTTGGTCTCTGCTGGGCAGCTGCTTGGTTCTGGGCTGTCGGTACTGAAGTGTGTCCTTTACCTGGCCCGTTTTGAGGAGGGAAGGAGCTGCTGTTTGTGTTCAGAAGAAAATACAGCTTGGATAATTGCAAGAGAGCAGCTGATGGTTTTGGTGCTGTTGGAGAACCCGTAAAAACCAGGATCTGCATAAGTTCGTAGTGCCCAGAGGAGGGCGTAGCTAAGCTGTATTAACCAGGTTGTTGGGGTGTGTTGGAGATCGCTGAGGCTGCTCTGGGCTGCTGGAAATCCTGAACCTTTTTATGGTGCAAGTGGCTGAAGTGCAGATACACATCACCAGGTGACAGCTGTGAGCACGTCAAGGCGCTGCTCCAGTGTAAACGACTGTTAGCAGCAAGCTGGGCTCTTAAAACAACAAATAGCTTGATAATGCGCTGAAATAAATGCAGCTACTGTGCTTTGTAAGGTTAGATGACACAAAGTTGGCTCCAAGTATAATAAAAAAGAAGACTGAAAAGTAGTAATAAACTCTAAATGCCATGTGTGAAGCAGTAGTGAATGAAAGGCCATGAGCAGCAGGTGCCGGGTGATTTTTGGGTCAGGTGTTGGCAATGATGGAGACCAGATGAGTTGCAGGGCTGGGGCTGGTCTGGAGTCAGGCAATGCAGGTTTGGGGGCTGTGCAAGGAATTGCCTTCCTGTGGATGTCTCCTCTGATCCCTTCTGATGCCACAGGTGGCTTTGGTCATGCATGGAAAGTGCTTTCCATCACATCAGGGCTGGAAGATGAGCCTGTGGGTCTGCTCTACTGTGAATTGTTGGCTACTGTGGGCTGGAAGTAGCTTCAGATGCTTTACAGCTGATGTTGGAGGCAGGATGTTTTTTATGGTATGGAGGGTAAAACCATCAAGTACTATGCTTTTGGACTGCACCAGAAGTAAGGGACTAAAGAGCAAATCTCCAGCTATGAAATGCTCCTGGTGGCTTCAGCTCATACCTGGTGGAGATGATGCTGCTGTTCACTAAATCACACTTCTGTCCTTTGTTTTGCAGCCCCTCTCTTGCTCTCCCTGTTGGTTTTGAACTGTAGGTATGAGGTAAGCCAAAGCTGATCAGGAGAGAACAAACTCACCCTGTGAAGTCAGCTTCAGACTGCAAAAGCTTGAGGACCTGCTGGGTCTTGTTGAGAACTTGATGTGCCCTCTGAGAAGCCCCCGTGTTGTCTAGTGACTCCCTCCTGTGGGACAGTGGCTGGGGACAAGCACACAGAGTGAGACTTAAATCTGGGATGGGACAAAGGTCTCTAATATGTTCCTAAGCTCTCCCACCTGAAATGGGAAAGTAAAGGGAAAATTAAGGATCTTAATTACTTTCACAATATTTTTGTTGGAGTTTGCATATGAATTATTCTTTGTGATGCTGCTGAGTTAAAATGACTTGTTATCAGCTACTAGTGAAAGCACTCTCATTTTGAAATATTATCTTAGTTCTGAAATCTTTAGTTATAGAGGACATAATGTATCACTGTCAAGGGCAAATTTTGGGTTAGGTGACTGAGTTGTTTGCTTTCAACCTATGAGCATCCAAGGGCAGGGCTGGGTGGCTGATGCAGACCGGGCTGAGCTCCTTGGGGCAGGTTGACTTTGCTGTTGGACCGGTGGGCTGTGACGCCTGCAGTGTCACTCTGACCTAATGTTCCTTGTCTCCCTGGGCTGGGCTAACTTGATTGTGTGACATTTTGAATTTAACCACCTTGATGCATCCATCTGCCTCTGTAGACCGTTCTGGAAGTGTGATAGAGGTTTCTGAATGGCAGAGATGCTTTAAATGCCTTCCTAGTTCCTCACCTTTATTGTTTTAAATTAGGAATAACAAAAATATGGCAGTTGCCACCCAGCTTGTTGAAAGAGCAGGCAGCTGTCTTGCACACATGTATTTAAATAGAAATCATGTGCCTTTTTGTTGCAATGCTGTTGTCCAGAAGTGGTGGAGCACAGCAGAACTAAGCAAATAGGAAACATTTGCAGAGAGATGGTGTAGAGACTGTGATGAACTGAGGCAATGAGCTCTTAAAGAGGGAAGATCTCTAGATGAACACACACAGTAATGAAAGCTGTGACTACCTAGGATCTCTTGAAGCCTGGGTGTAGCATGAAGGTACAGGTGAAAAGCCATGAAGGGAGATGCAGAAAAGGCTCCTTTGTGTTGTTGCTGTGACCTCAGTCTGCTGATGAAGACAGGCTGAGAGGGTTGGGGTTCTTCAGCCTGGAGAAGAGAAGGCTCCAGGGAGACCTTCCAGCAGCCTTTCAGTACCTAAAGGGGCTACAAGAAAGCTGGAGAGGGGCTTTGGACAAGGGCGTGGAGTGACACGACAAGGGGCAATGGCTTTAAACTGGAAGAGGGGAGATTTAAATGAGATCTAAGGGAGAAATTTTTTTACAATGAGGGTGGTGAAGCACTGGAACAGGTTGCTTAGAGGAGCTGAGGATGCTCTGTCCCTGGAAACATTCAAGGTCAGGTTGGATGAGGCTTTGGGCAACCTGGTGTAGTGGAGGGTGTCCCTGCCCATGGCAGGGGGGTTGGAACTAGATGATCTTGAAGGCCTCTTCGAACCCAAACCATTCTATGAGTCCGTGCTGTGTTCACAGGCTGTAGTGTAGAAGCCAGGAGAGGGAATGGGAGAGTGTTCCCCTTGCTGGGTATTGCCAAACAGCTTCACCCTCCTTTGAAGGCGACCACATTAGAGGTGTGCCTTTTGGCTACTTGGTGGAGAGCACAACTTCATTACTCCTCTCCTAGTAGACAGATCTGGAGCAGGCGTAAGTCATCTCACCTCTGCTGACTCCAGGGAATTTGTGCCCCTTCAGAGCTGCTGTCTCTGATTTTTTTTTTTAATTTTATTTTGGCTCCAAGACAGTCTACTTGATATTTTTTTTTGCCTCAAACCTTTTCTTCTTTTAAAAGATGTTTCCTTGTTGTGCAAATCAAACTGAGTTTGGAGTCCTGTAGTCTGCCTAACCTTGTTGCAACTGACATATCCAGGAGTATCCATTTCAATGCATGTCATGGCTGATAGAAGAAAGAAAAAAAAATCACTGCAAATCTCACAATTTCTGCTATGCCTTTTTCTGATGCTTTGCTCTGAATGCTTAGGTGTTTGTGGCACTGTGGGTCCTTGATAGCTGGGGATTTTTGTGCTGAGCCACTGGTTGCTGTGCCTGAAGGAGCATGTGTCTGTCTGGGACTTGCTTTGCTGTGGCTCTTTCACACTCCCTGAATCCATTGGCCACATGATGGAGCACAAGGAATTGCTGGGCTACAGTTTACAAATGCACAAGGAATGATAAAGGGTAAATTTAATTGGGATTTATTGCTGGATGGGGTCATAACACCTCAATTTGTGAGTAGCTTAATGTCCTACCACATAGAGCAGTGTGGTCCAGGTGTTAGAGCACTGCCCTGACAGTTTCAGAGTTTGCTGGTAGCTTATTGATTCACTGTGTTAGTCATCTTACAGCTGTCTCAGCTTTTCTGTAAGTTGTTTTGAGATCCACTGTGGGGAGCTGAGTATTTGCTACCAGCACAGGTGGAAGAAGAGCTTGTCTTTCCATGGCTGCTGTACAACTGGGGATTGTTGGCTCTGAGTCAAGCATGAAAAAGGATGGAAGAAAAAAAATCAAAATAGAGAGTAGGTAGTTTGATGCAGTAGAGGCTTTATTATGTGAGATGTTTGTTATATACTACAGAGAATAAAGTAATGCAGACTATAGAGCAAGTACTCTGACTTCAAACTGGTACATCAGAGGTGGATATTGGAGTAGCAAGTGCTTCCAAAGTGAGTTGCTTCACACAGTAGACCCCCTCGACTTGAAAGTCAAGTCCTGTTTTTCACCATTTTACGTTTACTTGCCTTGTTTCTGTTGGTTGTGTATAGAACAAAGCACAGAATTAAAACAGTTTCTTTGCAAAAATCTCCTCTGGAACAAAGTTGAAAGTAGGAAGAAATGTGAATTCTTAGCAGTATTAGTGTGGAAGGACCTGGTTTTTGTTGGCACTGGGCCAGCTTGAGGCCACTCTGAAGATGCAATGTCATCCCTGTGAGCGATTATGCCCATGGTAAAACTCATGTGTCCTTTACACTGGCAGTCATGGACAAAGTGTCTTCATGCAATTGAGACCTGAGCCTGCTGTAGATGATAAGAGACTGTAGATAGGAAGTTTTGAGACTTCTAAATCTAATGCAGAGTATAACATGGAGAGGATTAAATAAGGGCTGGTTTGTAAAGGTGTCAGGTTGTCCACAAGCCCCAGTGATTGCAGCAGGAGAGTCATGCTTCTGAAAGCTGTGCCTGTGAACTCAGCTGTGGATGCGTCTCTTGCTCTTCATCCCCTGGTTGTTCTGTGGACACCTTCACGGAGCTTATTGTTGCCCACAGTTGTAGTGGTAGGTATTAGACCACTGGTATGAATAAGGATATGAGCTGTGTTGGCAGGCGTGGGCTGGAGCACATAGCTGAGGGCATCTCGTAACACCTGGCTGTCCACAGTGTGGCACGCAGAGATGTTCCCTGCCCTGCACTTGGGGCTGAGGGAACACCATGGTGCACGGATCAGGACACCTGGGGCTACAGGAGGAAGAGTGGCCTTCCATGATGTGTGTCTCAACGCACTGTGATGAGCATGGTGCAGAGCACTTGGGGCTGCTCGGCACGGTCCTTCTCACAGCGCACATCTTGGTGCCTTTGGAAGGGTATGGTGTGTATGACACGCACTCCACTGCACGGGGATTGTGGCACTGCGTGAAGACCGGTGTGGCACACTTCACTCCACCCGGAATATAACACTGCTGCTTGTATTGGTACCCATAATAAGCCATTGTTCTGGGATGGAGACGAACCTAAAAAACAAAGTAGGGCAGAAAGGTAAATGACCTCCCTGCAGATCACTGTTTGTGTTGGATAAGCTGCTTTTCTTGCTGCTCTGACTCTCAGCCACGTAACAGAAACTGCACAGCGTTGCATTTAACTAACGACCTCTTCTGTAGCTTCAGATGTCATTTGGGGCAGGTAGCTATTATCCCCAGGAGAAGGGGAGTTTCAGGCATGGCTGCAGAGTGACCTGCGTGCTTCAGCTGGTGAGGCAACGGTGTATCTGGGATTAGTGCTGAGGTTCTCATCTTTTTTGTGGCAAGGGCTATCATTTATTTGCTTTCCAGATGCTTCAGTTTTAACTGGGATTGCTTTCTGCTTAGCACTAGGTAAAGCAAAAGAAAGTATTGCCTTTCTTTAGGCTAATTTAAATTGCAAAACAGAGGATTGCTATCTTTGTAATTGGCAGGGTGACGTGGCAGAGCTCTATTTTAAAAAGCCTAATGTTCCTTGAGGACAGAGTGACTTTGAAAAGTCTGGCTCCAGCTGTCAGTGTCCCATATAAGTAGAAAAAGTCAAATGTAATTCTCTGCATCTCAGGATGAAGCTGTGTAGTTGCTTTACTGGCAACTCTATACTCTGTTGTCTCTTGCTCTTTCTCTGAGTTCACCCCACCAGAAGCTGGGGACCAAAGGGCTGCAAGAATCGTGGGAGGTGTCTGCTCATGTCTGCACCTCGTTTGTCTGAATTAGGCTGTGGAGCACCCAATACTGCCAGGGCTGAACTGCTCCTGGCATGGAGATGGCCTGCCTGGAATGCAGGAGGGTGCAGGGTCTGTCCCAGTTGCTGGGGGAAAGGCATTGCCTAGCTGTGGAACATCAGAGCTGTCTTCACCACCATACTTGCAAGACAAGAGGTGTTAATTCCAAAGTCATGATGGAGCATGGAGAAGTGCTGAGACCTTGGATTTCCTAATTAAAATTTAAAATCTGACTGCAAATCAGCTTTCCTCAGCATTAGCAAATGGCACTTGGGCGTCTGCGCTTTACAATTTGGTGGCAGTTGCTTTTGCAGATATACAGGACTACTCTAAGAACAAGCTCCCAAGGGTCAGGTCCCAACTAATGTAGATAAACATAATTTGTTTACAAAGACAACAATTAACTGCAGACACAGGAGAAATGCCAGGCAAGATTGGATAAGAGTTCTGACTATATTTTGAAAGTGGGTAAGTAATATTAGCCCTTGCAGAGAAGAATCCCCCCAAAAAGTGTGCTTAAAAAGGGTCTTTAATCTGCAGAAGCCAAACTTTCTTTAGTTATTCCAAATAAAAATTAGTCTCTGTGGCATAATAGAAGTAATCCACATTGGTCTCTGATTAGGATGGTAAAGGTCAGCTGCCAACAGAAATAGTTACTTGAACTACTAAAATAAGTGTCCCCTAATATAGGAGAAAACTAGAATTCATTTTTTTTTCAAAGCAAATTAAAGATATGGGCACCTAAATGCCCGGATCAAAGTGGACACATCGCATCCCAAATTGGGTGAGGTTCTGTAAATCTCAGGCTCAACTTTAAAAGTCTGTATCTGTCTATACCTGTAAAAAAAAGATAATACCCAAGAAATTTCATTTAAATAAAATAACACCATTAATTCACAGTGTCAGAGTATTTCTGCAGGATCTATATTCAAGTTCAAAGTACCAACAAAAGGTTATTTTGCTAGATAGAAATGGAAATAGGCAAATAACTTACCGAGCTCACAGTGGAGAGTAAGAACTGGATTGAAAGCCTGGAGATGGGTGGTTTTATATGGTCTTTTAGACTGCATGGAAAACCTGAGCCACTGTGTATCAAATCCTAATTAGATACAGGAGAGAATTTGTTCATATGCAGCTTTTTCATTGACTGTAATTATTTTACTCACTTGTGATTATTAATACATTGTTATCCCCAAATACCATGAAATGCACCTCACACCCTGTGGGTTCTTTTTATTTTAAATCTTTATGGGAGAAGTAAAAGCTGCCTTTTATTCCACTGACCTCATTAGTTATGTAGAGAAATCTATCCTTCTCTTCAAGATTCTTTTAGCAGATTGACAATCAGGAAGCAGCAAGGGGGAGTGGGCAATGATTGTCCTTACTCTATTTTCCTTTTTGTTCACTTAAATATAGATAGGGAGCTGGGGGCATTGAGGAATCTGGCTTTGCAAACAGACTGGGAGAGGTGTACTCAATTACTCATTGTGTGGCTGATCTAGTGCTCTTCAAACTTAATAAGAGTCATTCCCTGATTTTATTAGGCTTTGTATTTGGTTGCTGGAAACAAGGCTGGTGGAAAATGTGCAAGCAAGCTAATACTACCTTTTGATGGAGTGTAAAACTCAGAGCTGTGTCCAGGACTTGTCCTGAGTCAAATTAAAATCTGCTTGGAAACTGGCATAGCTAAATTGTGAGGAATCATGAGTTTGCCAAGGATTTAAAGGCTGTCTGTGGTGGCAGTGCTTTGTATATGCACTTTGATTTGATTAGTAATTCTATTGGTGACATCTGTTTGGGTTCCTTGGGTGAGAAACAAGGAGTTACCAGATTGGACTAGATGATGGCATCCCAGTGATAGCAAAGTGGGGAGTGCTTTTCTAGTGACCTCATTATCTTACTCTGTGACCATCCCAACAGCACCTAGACCTGCCTGTGACATGTGCTTTGTGCTTATCCATCAGAAGGGAAGCTGTTCCCTACATGTGATCTAATTAGTAGCCTTTGACATCTCGAGATCCATCCTTTAAATTGGACATGTGCTGGTGTCCATCATAATGGAGCTCAGCCTTAAGCGCTTTGCTTGTGTAAAACATTAATGAGGAGTTTTAAGAGGTCCTGTTACAAAAATGCTATTTAATAACCTCTGTCAGTGCTATTCTTGTTTTATGTACGGACAAACATAGGTCTCCACAAGCATGATACCTGTGAGGACCCTCTTTATTTAATCAGCAGAGAAAAGTTGATGTGTGGGGTGAAAATAGACTCTGATACAGATCATGTCATGAGGCGTGTCTGTGGATCAATAAAGTTCAATGTTCTTGTCCTTTTTTCCCTCTTTCCAGTTGAGAGTATGTATCTCTTTGGAAGAAGGCCAGCTGAACTAACTCCCTGATTTTACATAACTAGTAAACCTAATACAAACTTGTACATTACAAAGGGGAATATAGTTATAACCCTTAATACTGACTCTCATTGTGACCTCTTGTTTTGAGGCAAAATGGTGGGTACAGACTTCCAGTACAGAGGCCACTGCTTCATCCTGATATCACATGTTAAGCAATAGCCAATGCCATCTGCTCCAAAGGAAAAATATTTTTGCCAGTGGGCATGCAGATAATTCATTGTCCAATTAGCTGAGTTTAACTCGGAGGTAATGCTCAGAGGCAGGAACCTTTATCAGCAACTCCGTCTCTGCATCTACCTTAGTGTAGTACCAGATCATCACTCTTCACCTCTCCAACCTCAACTCTCTCAGCCTGTCTTCATAGGAGAGGTGCTCCAGCATTCAGATCATCTTCATGGCCCTCTTCTGGACTCACTCCAACAGCTCCATATCCTTATGATGGAGTTCTCCAGAGTTCTGGAGTTCTCTGAACCCTCTGATTCTTCTCTGGTTCTCAACCTTCCTGGCAAGTTTACAGCTAGTGGCTTAGTGTTAATGCATGAGTTTATCTATCAGATGGAGCAATGAGAAGTATCAGGATCAGCTGATGAGTGAGAGCCCCTTGTAATGGTGTACTGCATAGTGGAGGATATGTCTGGGTGGAAAACCCTCCACTTCCCATCTACTGGAAGTGGTTACAAATGTTCTTGTGATGCTGAGTCCAGCTCTGGCTTTCTTCAAAGCATGTTGTCTCTGTAGCTGTTTACATCTATAAAATTCAAAGCACCTAACGGAAGGCTGAGTTATGGGAAAATGTGCCATTCTCCACAGAATAAAGTAGTGATGCTGGGTGGTGTGAGGCTGGGCCAGTAGTAAGTGGTAGGTTTGGCTAAGTGTATGGGGCAATGGTTTTGGAGCTGTTCTGTGCAGCAGAGAGCAGACATCAAGGGTGTCTTTGGGATGTTTGCAGCACACCTCCAAGCCTGTCTCTTTTTTTGCAAGCTGGGCATCAAGCTACATGGCTGGTCCTTCAGGAGGAGAATAGCTCTGGATTTCTACTCATGGGATATATAAAGCCTTGTTCATCAAGTGGTTTTTTTTGCCTTTGAGGGAATCAAACCATAAAATACAACAGTCAGATGCAATCTTTTGATAGAAAGGAAAAACAGAGTGCAGAACAGCTGTCTGAAGTAAAGGGAATTAAGACTAACGTAATTCCAGGATTTCAATGGAAGTTTTATTTCTATAAATTATGCACTCTTTGTCCCACACTTTCATAGCCAGAAACAAGTTCAGCTCTCCCTGAGACTACTGTCTCTTCACAGCCTTTATGGTATTGCTAACTTGAAGACGAAGTGGGAAAAACCTCAGTGGCTTCTCACATCTTTGTTACAAAACTCAATGTGCTAAGCCTCTCGCAGTTACAGCCTATTTAGCTGTAGCATAATTGTCATAAAGCAGTTGAGCTGATCTCACACACCTGATTTGAGGAGGAGAAACCAAGAGAAATGAAGCTCTGAGCCTCAAATGACTTTTATATACTTTCCCAGTCAGCCTGGTGGAGAGGGCACCTTTTTGGGCACAAAGTCCTCATTAGCCAAAGGCAAAATGTAATGGATGTAATTATTTCTAAGTTTCTTGCCTCACCTGCTGTGGTGTGCACACTAAATCACACACATATTTTGCATTTAAGGCTTAATAAATCAGTTCTGTTTGTTGTGGTGTTTCAATGGTCTTGGAGATGGATTGGATTCTTGATATCTGTCTACATTTTTTTTGAACAGTATAATCAAATGGATGTCTTCAGAGAGCTCCTTGCTCTTGTGGTGAGCTCTAGCCCAATCCTTTTAAGGTTTTATACA